CATCGCGTATTTCCCCAAAAAAGTTCATCGAATTGACATCACGGAATCCAATGCCAATGAACGTCCTTAAGTCAATTAAATGTTTGTAAACGCTGGATGAACTCAGGCTAAACTTAAGCCATTGAAATTGAAAGTCCATCTAGACAATACAAATTCGCTTGATGAACAACAACTTTAAGTAGCACAGATCCTGAACTGTAGCGGCGTAATATTTTGCAAAATTCAAAAGGGTTTTTTTTTTCAAATATCTAGCGTATTTCGATTGTAGTGAAAACAGGAGTCATCAATTTATACTATCTAAAAAGGTTAGGGTGGATTTAGATGAAAAAATTGTAGAGAACCTTTATAGAGAAGTTTTTTGTGTTTAAACTAATTAAAAGACACTTGAAATACTGAACAAAAGTTGAAAAGTTGCAGTGCAAGCAACACATATCAAAGAATTGAAGAATTGCCCCACAAAAGTTGTCCTTCGTTTAGCAGCCATATATGGTAATCTTACCTTATTTGGAAGTACAATAGGAATGGTTTTTGTCGATTTTCTCGACTTTTAAAGCTTGAATTCGTCTGAAACTTGCAGATATTATAGCGAAAACACTTCTCAACAATCGGCCATTTTGTTTGTTTCCATATATGGCATGGATTTGSTAAAGGAAGCCCAAAACTAAAAAGCACAGGGAACCCGCACAAATGTCATACAATACCGAAACTCATGTTTCTCAAAATTGTACGGCTTGATTGCGCTCAATTTTTGTATGCTAATAAAATGATCTCGAAAAAAGCTTTGTCTGTGACTTTTGATTAATGTTTTCACTTTAGTCAATTAAATGGTTGTAAAAACGAATCTTTTTGCTGCATAAAAATTCGAACTCGCCTAAATCAAAAACGCTCTCATTAAACTCAAAACTAGACGCTCTGGGAGCGTGAAGTCGGACTAGCTGCTTGTGAAAATTGAGAAAGACAGGATATTACATGGATAAAAATATTTCTTAACTTTTTTTTCCAAAACAGCCGAACTCACGGTCTAATAAGAGCGTCTAGTTCAAAATATGCAAAATTTATTGAGACTTTAAATAAACTTGACCTAAAAGGTCATGTAATTAA